TCGTAAAATTTAGTCCATAAAGTTCAAACAGGCTTTATCTCCAGAACTATGGGGCACATAAAAAAATCGAGACGCATTCTCAAAGATCATTATCTTATAAAGCAACAGTGAAAAGATCAGAAACATAGAAAAAAGGAACACCGAGAAACGGCCAATCCCGCAAAAAAACTCTCCGTTTAGGAGGTTAACGGGAACGATCGTAACTTAATCCCCTGAGCAAATATCAAGACGAAACATATATGATCGTACTCTGCTATATCTCAGCTTTCTGAAAACATATACATTGCCATAACTGCATGCTTAGTAACTGGTGAGGAAAGTCCTAAACTCCATTAAACTATAAATTATGTTTCCCCTCTCGCTACCTTAATCTTGACAAATCTTGACACATGATTCAACGTGTTGTACATATATTTAGTTGTTTGCTCTGTTTATTTCAGCGGCTTGCGATGCATTATTACGTATGTTGAAACTGACGCCAGTCGTCAGACTTCACGGTTGTTGTCCTTGTATTGCGAGATCGATCCCCGTGTGAGGACTCTCGGCATAGTGCTACGTTACTGGGGAAAGCTATGTCACATTGACAAACAAGACATGGGTAGTCTACCATCGCACGCGTTTCCCCTTATGGTCATATATTACTTACAACAATGTCAACCACCAGTACTTCCCGTCCTACATTCCGTAAGTTTGTTTTCAGTTGTCACTTGTACAGTCATTACTGTAATTCTTAGCTCTGCTATCATCGATGATGACTAAGCGGAGCTCATGGTTTGACTGGACCTGTCGTTGTTTGTCCATCGTACATAGTACATAGTAACGCCTTCTTCTCCCAAACCGTAAGCAAGATCATCTTGCTATTCATAGCACAGCAATCTGGGTTGATCCTCTCTCACGATTTCTCATTTCGTGACATCACATACAAATCTACCGGTAATGTTTTTGTCATTTTTGGTCAAAAATAATTTTTTCAACAACTGCTTGTCAGATTGCATTGAAATTTGGCATGATTGTTCTTGACATAAACTAGAATCTGATTCATTAATTTCATGAGACCAAATGCAAGTGTCTATTTTTAGTAAATAATTTTGTCTTCTTCTCCAAAACCGCCTGCCAGATTGCTTTAAGATTCAAAAGAAGTTTGGTTTTGTAACTATGAATACTGCAATACATATGTGATAACAACTTTTTACAACTTTTTAATATTTTCAGCTCATTTCCAAAGGTGAAACTGAACGAAGTAAATTACTTGGTAATGACAGCATGTATAGTTACTTTGATGATCTCAGTCAGCTAGTAAGTGTGCATATCTTGTCACGTGTGTACATGTATTTGTATAGTTAATTTCTGTGTTCTTCCCAAAATGTTTTAGGGTAGGTGGGCTTCAAAACTAGCAAATTTTGTGGAGTGATAGAATTATTATAGTTAATTTTAGTCTTGTAGGTGTGGTCTCGCAGTTTTATTTCTTATTAAAGAAGAAACTTCAATGTTGATTGATAGCATCTGAATATGCCAGTGTTCTTGTCCGCTGAATTTCTAGTAGAAAACACAAATTTCTAGTTTTACTAGATGTTAGGTTGACCAACTGGTAATGACCTTGTTTCTGAAAAGCAGTGTTGCAGATATTATGCTTTTGTGAAACTTTTTTTTTCTAATATTTATTATTTATAATTTTCAATCAGAGTAATGTCTGGAAGTGTAAAAATGAGAGCAGTGTTGGTGTGCTGTGGGTTGGGCTATTTAGATTTTATGCATTGGAATTCAACATGAATGACATTGTGGTCTGTATAAAGCAATCCACACCCATGGCGAAGGAGTTGAAGAAATGGAGTACAAAGAAGATCACCATAGAAGGTAGGTGGTGATGCAGTTAATTCCCTCTTAGCATTAAAAATCTAGTGAACAAAGAAGATGTTCTTGGATTGGCTGGATGGTTAGGTGTTGGGGATTTGTAGCGAATAACAGACACTCATTGTGAATTTGATAAAGCCAGTAAATAGGGTCCATAGCGTTGGGAAAATCCTTTGAAATTTTTTGAGGTCTGGAAAGTCTTTGAGTTGTCTTTAAAATACAGGAAAAATTAAAAAAAAAACATTGAAAAGTCTTTAAATTTCATCATAGTTATTAATTTGTTTTAGAAAGGCCTGTTTTCTTCAGGGAACTACCATATCCTCAGAACTTTGATGAGCTTTGGTGATGTTAGCCTGAATTAAGGGTCAAAATGTCTTGGGGGGGGGGGGTGCAAGAAAGTTTGGGAAAAGGTCTGGAAAAGTTTTGAAAATCATTTGACTCTTGGTGCTATGGAACCTGGTAAACAAAGAAGGTGTTCCTAGATTGGTTGGGTGTTATAAATTTGTAGCAAATGACAGACACTCATTGTAAATTTGACTTAATTTTCACTGCAAATACAGTATTACATAATTGACTAACATCTAAACATATACCTTGAACTTTACATTAGTATTTTGTATTGTATTTGTGACATATTATTTATTACTGCATGTAAATAAATAATATTTGGTAATACAATGTAAAGTACAACCCAGTTAACTTGCGCTTAGTAGTTATTTTCTTCATCTCACAGATCCATTCATGCCGAAGCGAAACCTAGCACGTTGCGTGAACAGTCAGTTAGTCTTTGAATACATACAAGACCGACTGAGAGATGCCCTCAGGTTCTTCAGTTTACCACCTACCACAACTAGCAATAAACAATCATCAGCTAAGGCCAAACGTAGCCGGCCACAACCAGCTTCTAATGCTAGTCATAAAACGCATCAACCTATTGACACTACTTCCGCCGATGTAAATAACACATTATTACCAGATACATTTACCAAGCCCGGTGCTACAGACCAAGTCAACACAGCTGCCATCAATGATGATAGTGCTATACTACACTGCATAATGTCGTCACAAACCTGGGACAGTTCTGTAAACAATGTGATAACTGATAAGCCATGCACTACGTTAGAAAATACTTCGACGCCGCATGATGCGGTCGTCGTCACCACCAGCCTTGCCAACTCAGGGGATGACTCTCAGATACCAGAACTTAAACAGAATTTAGAGTCTCTGCGAATAGACTCGGTGCCATTAAACTGTCCTGTGACGACAGAAGAGAATAACGTTGATATTGTTCATGAGGAACATAGTATAAGCACTTCCAATGTGCAGTCAAGAGATCATAGTGATGGCAACTATGTTGATGTGGACGTCGTTGTTGATGCAGACCTTGTTGAGGAGGTGGAAGAGGAAGAGGTTGATTCACCGAAGGAAGTTATTCTCTCACTTCTAAATGAAGTTCTGGATGAAACTTTCGAAGAACTTGAAGGTGATCTTGGAGAAGAGGAGATGGAAGATGATAAGATGGAGGAGACGAGGCGAGTGTCCTCCAAGGAAGAGCTCGATGAGGATGATTGGGACGATGTCTCCGCCGATGACGAAAAGTCTGCGAGCGAACTAGAAGAGGAGAAAACAAGGGATGTGTTTGTATTGATAGAGGATGAGACGGGTGCCAAGTTGAGATTGGGTTTTAATCAGATTGCCTTGACTGGCGGTGGAAAGATACCCACTGTTGTGTGTAATGAGTGCAAAAGAGAAGGACATATGAAAGATGTAAGTATGTCTTCTACTCTGAGCTCATCTGCCGTAAACCTTGCCACACAGTGGGCCATTGTCAGGCATAGTGTGTTCATATTCATACGTTCTGTGATGTCAACAAAGCAATGATTGATCCTATGTCTGTAATGAAATGTTGGGTACCGTAGTTGTCCTGTCAATCGCATTCTAATATCTAAGGTTACAATACAGATGTGTTATGGATTCTGGAATTAATGCAAAACACTGTTAGTTGTAGTCTTACTTCAAATGGTATATTTAATAATCATTGTGCATTTTTCTCACCTTTGAATTCCATAAATATAGCATAAACAGTTGATTGAATATGCTCTCATTACAACATTTTGGTTATCTGATACGTTCAACTTGCTACATAGCTTATCAATCTTACATGACTGACAACACACAACACTAGTTGTTTGGCTGCACATGTTTTTTTTTTCATTTTTGAATGTCTTCTTACCAGGACTGTCCAGATGATAAGACTCCTGTTTTACAAGCTTTACCCAGGATGATGCCAGACTTTATACTAAGACTTAACAAACTGTGCTTAGAAATGCCTGGTGAGTGAGCAATATCAGTCCTGCTTACACCAAATCACGGATAATATAATAAACAATTTTCTTCAGAAAACCACTGTTTACTTTTGTTAACTGTGTTGTTCTCTATTCTCAGGTACACATGCACCAAGTGACAGAGAAGTACAGAACAGAAACAACGTTCTAAGAGACCTGGAACGATACATCAGGACACAATTTGATGGTCAGTAAATTTAAAATCGTTCAGTATTGTGTTCGCGATGTTTGATTATACAAAATTTAAACATTTTCATTACATTTGTAAAGCTACACTAACATTTTGTTTGTGAGGCCAGACTTTTATTATCCCTTGTTTTGCGAACCCGCCGAATGAACAGGAGCCGAAAATAAAATTATATTTCAGCATAATTTCTCGACACCGCCGACTTATAAGCGCAAAAAATTGCTAAAAAAATCTTATTTTTATCTACATTTTTTTACCGTTCGCCGCATAAAAAATCCAAGTTGCATTTTTGTGGGAGTATCATGATCAGAGTACCGAAGTCTCGCGCAGATGAGAAACAAGGTTATACATGGAATAAGTTTATTTTATTTCTTGTCTCCGATCAATGATCTCACTTACAATTCTTTGAGAATCACACAAATCTAATGGAAAAAAAGAATTAATTTTTTTTCCCACCCTTATCAAAAAAATTGCCTTTTAAAAACCTGAGAAACAAGGAATAAAAAAGTCTGGCCTGAATATAATTAACTTAAAGGGGAACCGCTCAATCCCTTGGATTGCACCAAAGAATCATGGGACACTATTGTTTATGTTGTTTACAATGTTAATCTATCTTTTGTTATCCATTGTTATTTTAATCCAGAGAGTAAATTTGTTGTGAGATTAGGCTTAACTGGAAGGTGCCCCTTTAAGGTCGTTCTGAAAAGGTGTTTGGTTCTCGTCTCAATTGAAGAAAGATGCAGATTAAAGGTTGATTTGGATCACTCCCACAATGAAGGAACTCATTGTTTGAATTGAGAAAAAACATCCTGTGAAACACAAAACAAATATTTCCCCCATCTACCGTATAGCACACTTCACCAGTAAGCGAAATTGAAAAAATAAATGTGTTCGGCACAGGTTTCAAACAATTCCACTCGATGATAGGAAACAAAATTGATTTGTGGTCTTAACTATGTTTCAATGACCATAGTAAAAGTACAAGCACCTGACTAAGTGTTTTTACTTCCTGTAATATCGCAACATGAAAGGAATGTATTACCAATATCTTTTTTGATTTATTCACTTACAACATTTTAGACATCTTGTTGTACTGAATTGTTTTTATCGTGTGTTTATTTCAGATGACGCACAGTTATGTTTGTTTGGTTCGTCTATTAACTGTTTTGGATTCAAGCAAAGCGATCTAGATATCTGTATGACGTTTCGTGGTGTAGACACTACAGAGGTATGTTGTGTGTGACAGAAAGAGTCAGTGATGAACATCTGACATTGCAAGTATTTAGTTCAGTTTTCTTGGCTCACATGTGCCTCTATTGAAGATAACTTTCTAACAGAGCAAATACATTACATCTTGTGTGGCACGTTTGCTGTAATGTTGGATAAGTGATTCGTACCACAATTAAAAAAGATACCGACAAGACTAAAATTAGACTGTCAGAGCGACCCCATTTTTCTTGTCTCTTTATTATGATTAGACATGAATGAAAAGTGCCAAGCTGACAGACTGCGAAATCCGTGGATTAAAAGTGCTAGGTTCAAATTGTGTGGGACGATATCGACGAACTTCAGGAATAAGTTGTAGGGATTTTGTTCGACGGCTACAGTGACGTCGACTTGGACTTTGAGGGTTTTGAGTTTGACGAAGATGGCAATGAACGTACAAATAAAGATCTGAAAAGTTTTTTTTCAAACAGCTATGAATTTTTATAATTTTTACTGTGTAAATTTGTAAATTATTATTGATCTTGTATGACGGTTGATGCGTAATTTTTCGAGACCGGAAATCATTTTACGCAGTTTAACCCCTGACATTTTTATTAATTTTGAGTTCACACGTGTTTGTCCTAATTCAAATGATTCCTCACTGTCGATTTTTATTATTTCTGGTTTTTTGTCACATTATAAGCAATACATTATTTTTGTTCTACTTCTAGTGTTGCATATTGTTCATTTATTTCCGTTGCATGTTTTCATTTGCCGTTCTATTCCCTGCCGCAGTTCGATCGAACTGCGTGTTGCCAATTTTCGCGAATTTTCGTTTTTTTTGCCGGGGATCTCCTGGCAAACGCCCACCCCTTCTTTTTGGCAATTTTCCATGTTCAAGACCCTGGGCTTATACCCGGATAAATACGGTAATGTTCTGCCAGGGCGTTAACAAGTGTTAACAGACCTGAGGCCTTCGCCAGTGGCATTTCTTGCAAATGCCTTCAACCAAATTAGGCTAAAATATAAGTGTTTTGTAACTTCTGTCATATATGTATTTGAACAGGATTTAGAAACTCCAGTACCGGAAATAATTGAGAGCTTGGCAGCAAAACTGAAAAGATATAATGCAGTGTACAATGTGATACCCATACCGACAGCCAAAGTACCAATCGTAAAGTTTGTACATCGGAGGACTCAACTAGAAGCCGATATAAGTCTTTATAACACACTCGCGCAGCACAATACGCGCATGTTAGCGGCATATGCTAATATTGATGTCAGGGTTCAACAACTGGGTTACACCATCAAAGTCTTTGCTAAGGTGAAGTACAATCAACAAAATAGATCATGTTTCTTATATATTGAGCTTTTGGAGTGGATGATGTGTTTGTTTTTTTATCCATCTTAGTTAGTTCGTCTAAATGTACTCATACAGTATTTTTTTTTTAATATTTCAGAGGTGTGATATCGGCGATGCAAGTAGGGGTAGTCTATCGTCCTATGCTTATATATTAATGATGTTATATTTTTTACAACAAAGGAAACCTCCAGTTATACCAGTCTTACAGGAGGTAGGTAGAAGTATGGGTGTTTTATTTGCTATGGTAACTATAGTCTAGAATTGCTGCTTGTGTTCTGCCTTCTTGCTCAGTCGGTGACCTCAACTGAGAATCTCTCAGTTCAGTTGCCGTTTTTAATCTGTGGTTGACATTCATACGTTTTTCTGAAACAATATATGATTAAATACGAGGAAAAAAAAGGTGAAAAACGCTAATTGAAAAGGAAAATAACTGAATTTACATATTGTGTGGCTGTATAAATTTTGTTAGTGAAATGGCAGTTGGTTATCCAGGCTTGCTTTGGTATAGAAGTGTCATTTGTTGAAAAAAACAAAGCATTGTCCATGGATTAATTGTTAACTTCAGGCGGAAAATTGAAGAAATGTGCATAGAAATCTTTATAATGCTGCCCCGAAATTTTAGCAGCACATGCTTCAAAGTTCCATTCAGACTTTGTAATCATGTGACATGTTGTATATATTAGTTAATGGATGGATGGATGGATGTAAAGTGGGAATGGAACTTCAGTGAGTTGATTAATATTAAATGTGACATATTTTTCTTGTTGACAGTTGTACAAAGGCGAGACCAAACCAGAGACGTTGGTTGATGGTTGTAATGCATGGTTTTATGACGATATAAAGAATTTAGTAAGTTGACTTTTTTTTGTTTATTCAAACACCGGGAGTGCACCACGTGCTGAAAGTAATCCTCCAGTAACACATTTCTATCTTTTTTGAACTATGGTGAAGCTTTAATCAAAGGCTTCAGTCCACAAATCTTTTTTTTTCACTATTTAGAATAAAGTGTGGCCGGAATATGGTACAAACACCGAGTCTGTTGGCGAACTCTGGATTGGACTGCTCAGGTTTTATACAGAGGAATTTAAATTCAAGGAGCATGTGATCAGCATTAGACAGAAACAACTGTTGACGCGGTTTGAAAAGATGTGGACGTCAAAGTGTCTGGCTATTGAGGATCCATTTGATCTGAGTCATAATCTAGGTGCAGGGGTATCTAGGAAAAGTAAGTATTCAATTGGAAATTGAAATTAAAAATTAAAAAAAAATTAAAAACCCACTCGTCCAGGTTTGTCTGCTGTGCCAGTCGATATGTTACAATAGTTTGTTAATCTATTCCCACTTTGAAAATTTGTTAAGTATCATTTCTTAACCAATATATACTGTATTTGTTCTGTTAGTAAGGCATGCTACATAAATGACTGAGATATATCTATGGACAAAATAAGTTATAAACATGTATTTTAATGAGTCAGTTTACAATACCGTAAAAACTCGATTAATTCGCGGTCTCTATTAATTCGCGCACCCATTTTATTTTCGAACGCTAATTTTTAAATGTATCCTTTTAATTCGCGGCGTTCAAAAACATGTTTAAAATTGTATCCTATTAATTCGCGGACCAGAATAAAGTGGATAACTCTGAATATATTGCATGTAGACATTAAAAATATACATTTTGTTTGAGTTTTTATGTTACCAGTACTTGGTGTAGCCGCAATCGCAGATGATCTCTGTCATCACAGCCTCTCAGTTAGCAAGCAGTTTAGGTGCGGTAAAGATTTGACCTGAAAAAAATCATTCCCCCACGGCACTACAGATGTTGGGCAAGATTATTACTTAGTCGATAATAATCCATCAGTCAACACATTGATTACGAATTTCCGTGATGGAAAACTTCGTACAGGGCTTTTTCGTCGCTGGTCCACAGGGTTGCATCGACCATGTGTCCGCCATTATTCTATTATGTCATTTAAGTGAACCGCCGAATGGTGTGTAAATTGACGTTTTTGATTGGTCGGGCGATTGACCTCGTGTTACTTTTTCATATACCGGATTCGGGAAAAAACACAGAGTTAAGCGGTCATGTACGTTCTATAAATCTAACCTTGCACACATAATCTTGTACTGACGTATTTTTTGTCCAAGAAAGACGTTCCCTTTCATTTAACCCCCAGTTAACTCTTCGCGTCCATGGTATTTGTGAGAGTTGAAAGATTTTTTGAACAAATGACAAGTAACTATATTGATTTGCGTCAAGCTGGGTGGCCCGAATTTAAAATATTAGTGCATGAACTCTGGAGGTCATTTCCCAATGCCGCACGTAATTCAAACGCGTGCTTAAAAAAAAACTAATTATCATGAAAGCAATACATTATGAAGTTGAAATATTCAGAGCCGGTACAATATTGTAAACAAATTTGTGTAATTAGAAAATTGTGCACTAAGTAAACGACGTTGATATATTCAAAGCCAGTACAGAGTTGCATACAAGTTGCGTAATTACAGTACCTTCGGATATACCGGTAATACAAATTTTACTAGATTGACGCGCGGGGCACGAAAGAAAAAGGTTGCTATGGTAATGCGCCGGTTCAGCGCGTGACTTGAGGTCAAACTTCGGTCAACACACTTGATGTCAGCATGGAAGGTAAAAAGATGTCAGCATCGCCGCGCAGCAAGTTTCGCAAAGAAGTACTTGAAGTTCAATTGCGTCCCAAAATTATGTCGCTGATCACTCAGTTGTCGCAGCGTGTGTTGTGTCATGTCCATGATCCACCCCGTTTCGACTTTGGCTTGCTTTTCCTTTTTAGTGCATGTTCTTGTTCAAGTAAAATGCGACCTCTCACCAATGCATTAAAACACTTAGAATTTATACTTTGCGTGATTATATTTGCTCAACGAGAAACATTTGGCACATTTTTTCTAAACATTTTTATCAACACAGGGTTATTTTTCCAGACAAGACGGGCTTCGTAATATCTGCCATAACATCGCCCGGGCGATGCCTAGAAAAATAAAAAAAGGCAGTGCAGCCAGACGGCTACTTTGTAGCCACGTGTTCATTGTTTGTTTGTGTACAGAATGAGCTTTGCCATTTCACTGTTTCATTTCAAGTGTAACATGGTGCGTGGTCCTTGATGCAGTGCGTGTTCTCTGCCCGACTACACGCCATGAATGTCCTAGCCAGGAGTCTCAGAGGCACTAAAAAAACGTCCTGTAATCGTGTTCATTGGAAAACAAAACAAATCACTAATAAATTTATGAAAACAGCTTCTTTTTGAATTGATCTAAACGTACTCTTTTAATTCGTGCACCAAAAACCAATAATTTCTGTTTTTATGCTATTAATTCGTGCACTTGAAAAAATAATTATTTTTACTACCGCGAATTGAGTTTTTACGGTACACGCAACTGTTACCGGTAACATGCACTTCTATTGGAAGTGCAATAAAGCTAATAAGGTATATCATATAAAAAAATAACACAATAAGATTCTTCATAGATGAGGTTAGATTTTTAAACAATAGACACTCACAGAATTAGTTGGCGATCTTGTTTGTCTTTGAACGTCAGTTACATTGTATGTATGTTTTTCTAAGGGATAAGAACCTCCAGTACTCTAAAAATGAAAGGTGTGGTAAGTGAGGCCAGGAGATCAGGTTTTAGCGAAAATAACATCATTTTTATGCATTTTAGGTTTTTAACATGTATTTGGGAGTGTTTCATAAATTTGCAATATGTCAATGCAACTTATCTGCAGGACAAGTGTTTTGAACTATACTCTAGTTGTATTGGTGATTCTTTCTTTGTATTCAACTTTCATTGTACAAAATTGAAAAACTATATGGATGACAACATTTTTTAGTATACCTCCGGTAATAGCGTTTCTTGTTTAACTGTAGCATATATCCTTTGTTTGTGATTACAGTGAACACTTACATCATGAGTGCATTTCAGAGAGGAAGAACTAGATTTGGTACTCCGGTTAAAGAGTTCCATAGTGACTGGGTAAGTCAACAAATCACCAGACATGATTAGTTTTGTATCAAGGTGTATTTCTACAATCCCCCCAAAAAGTGAACCTAGGATTTCTAAATATGACACTGTTGCTGATAAATGTAACACTGAATGAAAAATATACGACTGTGAGTCTAATCATATGCAGTTACATTTTCTGTTGAATCACCTTGTTTGTGATTTTTGCTCTTATCTCAATCAATTATTTTTTTTTTTTATCATTTGAATGAAAATTTGATCACAAGCTTGCCAATATGAACTGATTTCATATGTTCTGTAATTTAAAATTCTGAAATTGAAAAATCTTTGGTTGATGTTATGTACATTACCTGTACATTACAATATAATTGAGTTTATATGACATCACAAATAAATCAAAATTACTGTAGAGTCATTCACTATTCACTACATTTGTTAATCTGTGGTCTTCTCTGCATTAAAGAAATGCACGTCCCTGTGTGAGAGATGCATCACTCAAGTGTTTCCTTGATATGTATACGCAGGATTATTTCTTTGATATTCGCTACCTGACCAATGGTACTGGACCACCTAATGACCGGGGATGTAGAATATGTGGTAAGATTGGACATTATATGAAAGATTGTCCCAGGAGGCGGAAGAAGAGTGGTGAGAGAAAAGAAAATGAAAGTAACAGGGATGACGTTGATGGAGGTGAGAAATAGTAATATAAGTACCATATTATTTCCTCCGTGATAAGTACAACTAAAGGCACAAAAATCAAAACACATTTTCAGCCTTTGATTAATGAACACGTCCATTGACGAAAACACTCAAGTAACTCTAAAAATGCTGCCACAAGAAAGACAATAGATTAAATTATAATACCTTGCTTTGCCCATTATTGAAATGTAGCACTTATTGGTCGATCATTACCATACGCAGCCCTGTTATCAGTTACTAACTTGGCACAAACTTACAAACAATATTATGTATGTAACCAGAGATGTTAGAGTCACTCGACCATATCAAATATTTCTATGCATAGAAACAATAGTGTTTTTGCACGTCATTTGCTTGTGAACTTTCTACACGTAACTGAAATGTTTCAATAGTCTGACTGAAATAAAGGACTTCACTCTGCCCCCAAAAAATAAAGCACTTACTGAGTTGTTTATAGAAGGACACACTTGTTTGGTTCATAAGTTGGCAAGAACTGATTTTTCACATTGAAAGATAAAATATTTCCATTGTTCCTTGCTGTTTAATAAATGTGTGTAAGAGTCACAAATCTATAAAGACTCGTTCCCAATTTACTTCTCATCAATTATCATAGATACAAGAGATGACAGTAAATCTGAACAAAAGAAAGTGATGGAAAAACAGCGAAACCGCTCAGGACACATGAAGCATTCCCAACAACAGCAACAGCAGTATCATCATCATCAGCGTGTGCAACAACCAAACAAAGGCCAGGGGAGACAACAAAGTGATAATCAGTACACGGGCGTGTCACTGTTCCAGAATTTACCATACAGACCTACCCGTCATCAGTCTGGCGGTAACGAAGGTTACCAATATATGTACACTCAGAGTGCTCCGCAAAGTATACCGCAGCCGCTTTACTACGCAAATAGTACTCGTAACGACAGGTGATTTATTTTCTCTCAGTGATTTTGTGATATTGAAAATATCATTCATTGGTGTGTCCGGGTATTCATTCTAAGGATAGAATGGCAGTTACTGAGTCATGACTTGTGTATACGAGCTACTTCTGGAAATTTTGCACAGATTTAGGATTTCTCAGCATTCATGAAAACAAAATTTTGCTAAAGTCACTGACACTCTTCGTCGTAGGACCCCAGAGACATTTTCACTCCTACAAAATTCACTGTCTCGTAGAGTTTACAGAAATTTCATTCTTGTGAAATTAAAACAGTTTACAGTATCAAATATAGGTTATTGCATCACAGATTATTTCTTCTATGTGTCGAAACGATGTTCGATGGTGATCAGTCTCTGGTGAGATTCTCACAACGCAAATATAGACTCTGAGAAATAATATTAACAATGATCAGTGTTGAAGACACAAGAAAATTCTAATAATGCGTCTCATTTTACATAGGTATGACGATAGCAGTGTAAGTCCTCCTGCCATGTCTATTTCACCACATTCTCCAGGGAGAGGTCAACAACAGCCGCAGTATATACTACATGCCCAACCCACTACACCACCTTTCAGTACAGGCAGTGAGTATTCTGAATGAATTAACGCATCACCCGCTGAGAGCCTCCATGGATAGCCGTAATGAATTGGAAAAAAACAGCATCAGCTGGCAATGTATTGAACAAGCCAATGTACAGGCACATGTAGAATGATGTCTGAAAAGTTAATCAGCTGTGAAAAATCAAATGCTTTTTTACCTTGCCCGTACCATCAAAGATGGAAGGGAAAAGTATATTAAGGGAAAAATTTTGTCCGGCGTTGTCGTCGTTGTTGTCGTCGTCGTCGTTAATGA